ACGCGAAGCAAAGTGCAACAATATTGCATCAATTTAAAATAATTCGGATTTCATTTCTACTTTTGTTCACAGTACAACGTAATCCCCCATCTTCCAATTTTCTTTTGTTTATTATAACAACAATCTAGGGGGGGAAACTGAAAGTTCTACGTATTTAGACCTTTTTTTAAAATGTTAAAATCTAATGCTCTGTTTTCTATATAATAAATTGTATTAATGAGGGGTAAAATGTAATAAACGGAAAAGAATCATGACCGAGAAACCGACTCAGCAAGTTTCCCGATTCGTTCGACGAGCTCAGGAGATAACTTCTTAACCGGTTTCCTCTCTTTCTCCGGTCGAAAATCAAACCCGAGTGCATCCGACACTTCCTCGGAGCTCCATCCAGCTTTCCGGAGCGACTCCGAGAACCGACCCGCTTTAAGAAGCAACGCATCTAAAACAGCTTGATTATCTAAAATTACCATTTCGCCCTCAAAGAACCCAGATGCTGACACGTGTATGATGTCATCTACGTCGGATTCGCTCCAACCGCCTCCTCTTAAAACCGACCCGATCCGGTTCACGTAATCGTCGACCCATTTCGGTGTCTCCGATCTCGGTAAGTCTAGATATCTCTCCGGCGATGAAGAGTGCGACGAGGACATCGAAGAAGCCGAGTTTCTCCGGCGACGATCCACCGCCGCGTCACTCCAAAACTCCACCCATCTTGGTGTACCCGACCGGTGAACCCGACCCGAATCTAAGCTCATTCTAGAGAAATTCGAGTAAGACGACGACGAAGACCCGGCGGATTTCTCGCTAACCGAACGCTGCTTGGTTAGAATCTCCGGGCACGAGCCGGATCCTCTAAACACAGACTCACGCTCGAAGAAATCAGATAGATCCGACCCGCAACAGAAAATCCGGGTCTCGTCGATGTAGAAAACCGGGTTACCCGCTAAAGCCGGGTTACAAGGAATAAAGCAGTGATCGAAAATGGGTATCATCAAAGGAGCTCTTTTGAGTGCATTTCTCGCGACCCGTAAAGCTTTTTCCGGGTCGGACGGTCTCGGGCCCCATGATTTGCTCCAGAGAGTGTTTCTCGCGATCTGAAACGACACGGCGGCGATTGGAAGATCGATCATAGCTCGGAGATGGAGACGAGCTCCGGGAGAACGCCAGTCGGGGAAACCGGCGCCGACTGGTAAACCGGCGGTTAAAACGGCGCGGAGATCCGGTGGGAAAGCGAATGCGAACTCTGCTTCGGCTCGAGCGAATTCGGCGTCGGTTAGACCCGGTTGGACTTGGATCCTTGAAGTGTGTAAGTGTGAGATTACTTGGTCGGCGAGAGATGAGAAAGAGACGAGGCTTTTTCTGACTGTTGGAGTCGTTGGTGCGGCGGCTCGAGCTGAGAGACGACGGAGACCCGCCGCGTGTGCTGGCCGGAGACCGGTCATTCTCCGATCAACGTCGACCATTTTTTTTTTTTGCTTTTTAGGGGAAAGAACAAAAATTTGGGAGTAAGAGTAATGAGAAAAGAGTAAGCTTTATGAGTTATGGGGTTTCAGATATGTGTGATAGCGAATTGAGAAAGATGATAGGCGAGAGACAAAGAGAGAAGCTTTTGTTGATCAAAGTAAGGAGTTTCTTTTATTTATAGCAAGTTTTATAGGTGGTCCTAC